CAAAATTTCAGTAGTTTGCTTTGCCTACATTACCTGGTATTCTTTGATCAGACAGCTTGCATCTTCACCAATATACATGATCAGGCACTTCAGCAGGCACTCTCTTCTGATGTCTATGTCCAGATTCTACAAAATGTTCAAGATGTATTGCTTTTAATGGACCAAAACACTACCAAATTGATTGCAACAAGCAATTTTGTTTGCATCCAACAAATACCTGATCCATAACTTGAATAGTGTCCTTAGTTTTTTCACGGAGGACTCCACCTTTGCTCCTAATAACCTGGAAAAGCTGAGAGCTTTTGAGAGCTCTGTCTGTCCAAAGAAGCCATAAATCTCGGTAGTAAAGGTAAGGTCGTGATGCGCAAAAATTCCGCATTAATCTGTCAGGAAGAGAAAAAGAAAATAGACTTCTAAAAAAAATAATTTCACTTTGAGAACTAGTTGTAAAAATACATATACACACACAAAGCATTAAACAAAAAAAGGTATAATTCGGGCATCCAGGACATTTTCAAAAACACTCCCATGGTAAAAAATGTTATATTCAGGATTAGTCATTTACATTTTAATATTTTGCAATAAAATAAATGCTTTTACCTCCTCTTGTTGAAACAGAGCTGGCCATCTTTCTTGCAGTTCTTGAACACTAGGTTGGTTTTCCACAATCTCTTGTCTGCGTATGGCAAACGTCTTTGTCATTTTTTCTCTGATTGTCAATGCATTGTTTCTTTTCTTCACTTCCTTTAAAAGTGCCAGGCGCTCAATTTCAAGGTTTGCTGATGTCTCTCCAGCAGGAAGGGATGGGATATGATTGGCCTCACCACGTTTAGGTCGTTTAACATTTTTTGCTGGAAAAACATGGTCAGTAGCTTTGGTTTTCAGAGAATTTACCAAATACTCAGGGCATCAATAAAAATATTCATAATAATTAAGCTTTATAACAATGTTAAATCCATACAAAGCGTGCGTGTACTGTATACATGCTGGCGCCGTAAAGACATGCACGCTGATGGCGCCGTAAAGACATGCACGCTGATGGCGCCGTAAAGTCTCGCGCGCTGATGGCGCCGTAAAGTCTCGCGCTCCAGCACAGCC